GCTTGGTTGTGGCTCAGGGGTGGAGTGCCTGCCTAGCAGGTGCGAGGCACTGGGTTCGATCCTCAGCACCACATAAAAATAAATAAACAAAATAAAAGTATTGTGCCCGTTGACAACTATATATATATATATATATATATATATATATATATATATATATATTAAAAAGTTAACTTGCAGCATCAAAAAATGAAGTTTTCCATCTATTAAAAAAACCCTTCCTAAAAAAGAACCCAAAGCCAAAATGTGTGTGTGTATGTGTGTGTGTGTATGTGTACATACACACTACTTAGTGTTTACTACCTTCCCACACTCGACTGTGGGTAATATTAAACATGCAGAATATTAAGCATTACCAAACTGTCCATGGCATATCTTCACATCTAACTCTATACTCCCAAAGGAACAGATCTGAGCTTGAACCTGCTCCCCTCAACCCAACTACCTTATTTTAATTCATAGGTTTTCAGGCAACCACAAAAGTCGATAAGGATATAAAGGAAAACAATAAAAAGGAAATACAGAATTTAATTTCAACAAAATCTTATCAGCGGACTTTAAAAGAAAAACTAAATAAACTTCAAAGTTAACCAAACTCATAATTTGTTGGTTTAGTAGTTTAGCTACTGCCTCACCACAATAAAATAAATCTGATACCACAATCATCTACTTAAGTATTTGCATGGGAATAAAAAGTTGAAATGTGTAATCTGTCTTCCTTTAATATCCTTCTAAAACTGAAATATGAAACATACAAACAGACTAATGTTACCAGAAGACAAATGTTGTTTTCCCTGAATGGGATAGAATTTTAATGTAATAATGATAAGAGAACATTTTACCAAACATAAAAATTAAATATTTTGTATTTTCTTCAGAACTTTGACATATTCAAAAATACAACGGGGGGAATAAACCTGACAATACAAAATTGCAGAAAATAAGGCACTTACCTTAGACTTTAGTAGAAGTTCAAGAACACACTAATAGGAGTTTGAGGGTTTTAATTGCAATGAACTTTTATTACTAATGGGTAATGGTAAAAATATTCCTAGATAAAATAATAAAAATTGTATAAATATCAATTTCTAACTAGTTACAGCACCAGATCACTGAAGGGGGAATGATTTAAGTCATTTTCAATGAAAACAGTCATTTTCATATTATTTTTTTAAAAAGGAAACCCGCTTTGCCCTCCCTGCCAGTCTCTGATACCTTAGAATACTACAGTTATTTCACAGTGGGAAGGAATGGGTAATAAGTACATTTCTTTTCCAATCTGTTTCTCTACCCAGTCATTAAACACCAAATACTGAAACTGAATTCAGCTACCTTGATCTTCTTACCAGGAATGCTCCCCATGGCACCCCAATCCCTTCCACTGTGTCTTACTCTAACTGCCAAAGCCCCTCCTATTAATAGTAAATCCCTTTCATACTGACTCACTGTAACTCCAAGTTGATGAAATAGACACCAAGCAGAATATTTAAACTTACAAATGGAATTTTCCTATTTTCAAAGAACTTAAAAGGAAACTAAAAGTAGAATACATTCAAACTAAGTTAAAGTTCAACCAATTTAAAAGAATTCATGTTGCTTGTTCTATACTGGTTCAGTTTAAATATTTTTTGAAAGTTCATATGCCAGGCATGTGAAATTACTTATACAAGGCTGTTTCCCATGTAAATACCTGATACATAGATATAAATTTAAGTCATTACAAGATTGCAAAACCAACTTGGAAATTTTTCTCCAAATTTTTTTTCTTTAACTATGGAAATTTTCAAATACACAAAAATAGCATAAGAGTGACAATGAACTCTCCTGTACTCATCTAGCTACAATAATCAACTCAAGGCCATTTTTGTTTCATCTTTACCTCCTACCCACTCCCTCCCCTCAATATTATCTTCAAACAAAGAGAAAAAGAGGAATACAGTGTGCTCAATAAATACAGAGAAAAATCCCAAAGATAACAAGTATCAAAATAACAGATTAAGAAGTCCAGAATCTAACTTGTACAGGCAGCCTACACAACTTCTAGATAAAATGATAAACTTCTTCTAAGAATTCGTTAAAAAAAAAAGAACCATCTTCAACAATTTTAATGAGGTCCATAAAACTCCATGGATATATTCTAAATTATATCTAAAGAATAAGTAAGAATATATGATGAAAACAAACTTAAAACATTTACAATTAGGTTATATTCACATAGCACCTTAGCTCAAAACGAAAAAAAAAAGACTATTTAACATATTGTGTCATAAAATTACAATTCAACCACTTGAAAAACCGCTGAACACTTAAACGCCTTAACTGGTCCTTCTGATCCCTAATTATAGATTGATATCAATGTAGCAAGAAAACCAGGCATTTTAACCTAAGTGGTTTAAAATGTTCAAAATTAACCCCACTGTTCATTGGAAAACATATGAAAGCAAGTCTAAACTACCTGAATTGCATGTCATTAAACAGAAATGTATCCACTTTCCAGGGCCGGTGTTTTTTTTTAAAAAAATAAGTTCACATATACCCTTAAACGCAACGCGCTAGGCTACAGACAGAATTAGGAGACCGCCTCCTGCTTTTGCTCCTAACCAATACGCAGAGAGAGCAGGTTGGCAGGAAAGTGCTGCGAGGACAGTAACAAACACCAGCAGCTCCCAAGCAGGCCCTGCTAGAGCCAGGAATGACGCACTTCGGTAACCCGACTCTTTCTCCCCTCCACCCCCCGCCCCCAGCAGCGGTGCTGACACCGCCAACAGCCCGGAGTAGGAAAAAAGACAACAGAAAAAAGGCAGAGCTTGGACCGCACCAGGTTTCATCAAGAAACCTCGATTATTCCTCTTTCGACACTAACCACTAGGACTAAACAGGAAAAGAAGCTTCGTGCTTAAGCAAGTCCCATCATGGTGGTTTAAGAGTCACTAAATTAAGCTGATAATGAGTCCAATCCACAGAGACAAATACAGGGTGTGGCTGCTGTGAAATACGGCGGTCCGTGGGAGAAAAGGGGTATGGAATTTACACTCCAGTGTGAAGGGAAGATTGGGGCTTTACGGGGGGGCGGGGGGAAGCGGCCCGCGCATTTTAAGGAACCATTGCAAACCAACACAAGCTCCTCGTTTACTTAAACCTAACCCTACAGATCAAAAGTTTCTAACAGATATACCCTGTAAGCTGTAAATAACCATTTAACCAAAAACCATGACCCTCAATTTCAAAACTACATCCAAGAGAAAGGAGGAGGGAGAGGGAAGGTGGGGGGTGGTAGGCAACAACATAAAAAACATCCTAGGCCACGGAGGAGAAAGTCTCACAGACCGGATGAAACTACTAATGCAATATTAAAAATTAACGCTGAACACTAAAACACGAAAAATCACACGATACCCCATTACACTTAAGGATTAAAAATAAAATGACATATACACCGAGAAGAAGCGGAAACTAAATGTCGAAAGTACAGCGGTTTATAAAAAACTAAAGGCAAAACAAGACATTCTCGCGACGGGAGGGGAAAAAAAGGCCGAAATCAACAATACGTTTACGATTCTAGGCCAGAAGAAAATGGGAACGGGGCTCAAAGTTTTGCGGAACTACTTGATGCTGTTTCCCACACCTTCTCTCGCCCATGGCCCATCCGACCCTTTTCGTCCTAAAATTGCCGTCCACAGATCTCCGGATACGTGATAGAAGAAAAAAGAAAGTCGCCCTCAAGCAAGAATAAAAGTGTGGAGGGAAAAAGCATAGGCTGCCTACCTGGGGCAAGGATCAGCTCAGTTCGTGCCTTGAGAAAGACAGTGCGGGTGGGGGTGGGAATGAAAAGCAGCACTAAAACTAAAACAAAAGTGGCGCCAAAACCCCCCAACAAACAGCCTTCCACTCCCGCCCTTCCCCCCTCCGCCCATGCCAGGCAGGCAGGGCCCCCTTCGGGGCAAGGTCTGCGCGCGGGGGCCAACGCCGCCAGACCCCAGCCTATTTATAAAATTGTTGCCCTAAGAAAACTGACCKAACTCGGGCCTCGGAAGGGATGGAGAGATCGATGCCAACCGCTTTCCCAAGCAGTTCCCCCACCACGCGCTGGAGATGATGGGGCGGGGGAGCAGCAGAGGGGCCCGTCACATGAATGTTGTTCCCTCTCTAGGAAGGGAGGAAGAGAGGGAGGGAGGGGAGGGGAGGGAGGAAGGGAAGGAGGGGAAGGGAGAAGGGAGGGGGCACGAGGGAGGGGTGTGATCAGAGTAGATTTTCCCTCGCCTCCCTCGGTCCGAGGCCCAAATATACACAACTGAGCCTCCTCTTTCTCCCCTCCCCCCTAGTTCCCAGCACCACCATTTTGCTCTCTTCCTTCCCCTCTCCACGATACCGCGCTCTCCCCCACCCCAGTTACAGCCTCCCCAGCTTGCCTCCCCCGACTAAGGCTCGCACCCCACCCCACCTCCAGTTTTGGGTCTCCTAGGCTTAAGAGCCTGCCGGAGAAAAGGAACCTAAATCTAATGCTACACAGAGAAGCGGAGCCTCCATCTTGCGCTGCTCCGCGTTCTCCATTTTGGGCCACCCATGGGGGGGTCCTCCGTAGAGGCCCCGAGGGAGAGTTGGGCGAGGGAAGGAAGAGAAAATCTTCAGCGAGGGTAGTCGGAAAGAAGAGTCCTGCGGTAGAAAGCGACTCTACGAGTAGGAGGTAGGGAGGAAGCGGGGCTGGAAGTTCCTTGGAAGTGTTGGGGTGCCGACTTGGTAGAAAGGAGGACTGGGGGTGATGCGGGGGCGAGGAAGATTCTCCCCGCCTGGACTTAAACACTCACTCCATGGCTGGCCCCCCATGGGGGCAAAGGAAGCGGAGAGGGAAATTAAATGGCAACAGAGTGCCCAGCCTCTTTTCCCTCCCAACTCCTGTCTGTCGCCCTGTTTCAACCATACACACCTCACGGTGGGCCCCGCGCCCTCCGGGTGCCCCTCCAAACTTCTAGAAGCTTCGCCTCCGCCATTTTATAACTTACCTCCCCCCTCAGCGTACACAGAGGCAGCAACGAGATTGTTCGCCTCCCCCACTCCTTCCTTCTTTCTCAGGCCGGGGGCTTCTTCACCCCTGGGCTGGTACAAGATTTTTTCCCCTTCCTCTTCTTTACACCCTCGAATTCTACTCAGGGACGGAAGCTCCCGCGGTTCTAGAGCGGTGGGGGGTTTTGAAAGTGGCGGTCGGATCCGGGGGGTTTTTTTTTTTCTTTTTTTTTTTTCTTTTCTTTTTTTTTTTTTTTTTTTTTTTGGTGGCGCTTCGGGATTGTTTGGGGTGTTCGCTCTTCGGCGACTTGGAGGCGAATGGAACGCGCAGGCGCCATCTGTCGGCCACCAACACGCGCCCGGCTCCTGTTGGGAGGGAGCGGCATCTAGCGGCCGAGAGCTGCCACTGCAATACTTGGCTTCTGGCCCTCCCACCCAGAGTCCTCCTCCCAATCACCAACCAATCGTGGCCGACTGACTCCCGGGTTCTGCGTCTCCGACGCCTTCTGTAAACCAGGCGCCCACAGGGGCGCGCCGCCGAGTGGGGTAAACAAGGTGCCGTGCCCGCGCCTGACTTACTCATTCGTTTGGACGTGCTTCCACCAGGGATTCGATGGCACCAGGGTTCCTCTGTCTTTCCTGGGGGGGAGGGGAAGGTGTGTAGTGGAGGGCGGTAGGAACGTGCGGCAGAGCCCCTGGCCGTGGGAATTCAAAGGCTGGGCTCACTCGGGGACTCATTGCCCTGGCTCTTCCGCCCCTCGCGCAGCCCCAAGGTGGCAGCCCAGTAAGACATCACCCTTAAAGTCCCCTCCTCTGACTGTCCGCAGCAAAGGAACTGATGAGGCCCTAGTTCTAGGACTCTCGCTTCACTCTGTTCCCTACTTCCCACGAGAAGAACCTAACTCGATGAACTCTGGCACCTGATCCTAAGTGATTTAACGGGCTTGAGTTTTTTTTTTTTGTTGTTGTTGTTGTTGCGTTTTGTTTCGCTTTTTTGCTTCGAGTGTGGAGAAAAATGGGAGCTGTTCTCTTAACAGAAGGACCTAGTACTGGAAAAGAAAAAAAATATTTTTTTTTTCTTTGCAACTCACTGTTCCAAGACGTGGTCTCTATCTCCAGGATCTAGGAGACTTAAGGGAACTGGGCTACTAGGCTAGGCCAGGCGCTCCACAAATTTCTTCGCCACTCTGGGGGCGGAAGAGGAAAGACGGGACGGAGCGAAGTGAAGAAAATGGAAATGTCGGGGAAAGGAGTCCTGGGGTACCTACCGGTCTTCCCCGCCTCCCCCGCGCGTCCACTGCCTTCCTGGAAACGTGGGCGGCCTCCAGACAGTGTTAGGAATTTTGGTTCCTTATCCTGCCTCCCAATCATCCCCGCAATACAAATGAAGTATGAAACCACTCCTTCCATTCCTTCCACCACCATCACCCATTAATTCAAGTCTTTATCACCATTGTTTTCTGTTATTATTTATTCAAAACCAGCGTACTGGACCTTTGACTGCCAAGCGCTCTCTACACGCGGGAGAAAAACTCGGGGAGGGCCTATCTCTTGGAAGTGCCGCTTTTCCTAGGACAGAAAGAAGTGACCTCTTAACAGTGTCTCTGTTGCTATTATAGCAGCTCCTATACTGATAAAGTAGAATTTGGTTAAAAACTCTTAGTTTCTGTTTCTTTTTTTAATATTTCAATTTCAAGAAAACGTATTTAATAACAGAAATCGTGTGAGCTCTGTGTGAATTATGCAGATTTCACCCTATATCAAATCTAAAGCATTCCTAATGCAGTATAATGATTAGTTTCAGTCCTTAAATTATATTCCTTCCACGTCTGTGTCTTAGTTTCTTTCTCATCTGCTGTGCTCATTGGCGTTTTCCTGCAACTTTAAAAAAAGAAATATGGTATATTTAATCAACTGAACAATAAAAGTTAAAACAGAAACATCTAAATATCAATAATAAGAAATAAAACCTGAGACATTTTTACTTACCGCTAAAACTATGAAAACTGCAATACTATTCAAAATAAATTTCCATTTCTTTTATAGACTATCTTTGGTAGAATACAAAAAGATACAGTTTTTAATAGATGCAAGTTACAGAATGATGCAGCTAGAACATTAAATAAGGAGTAGTGGAAATTTTGCAGTTATATAAGTTAATGCAAAATTCCACTTGAAGTAATAGGAAAATTGGGCTATGTACCAAATCGTTTTACATTAATTTAGTTCAATTGTGCCAATTTACTATCAAGTGATATTAATGATTTCCTGGGTTTTTTTTTTTTTTCTGTTTTAGTATTAGCTAAAAACTACCGATTTCCTGCTCCAAACAATACATGGTACAGTTTTTCATCAATTTTGTAAATTTGTGTTGTCAAGTTCATGGTGTAACAACTGAGACTTTAAAACAATTTTGCCCTCTGAACAAAATTGAAAAGTTCTTGTTAACTTGTTTTTATTTTGTAAAAAAATACCACTGAAAGTTAATAATTTTAACTAATATAACCCGAAATTATTCCTGTAGCAAATTTATACTGACACTTAAAAATGTTTCACAGTAGCTCCTCTTTTCTTTTTGCTAAAGCTTATTCAATAAAATATTTATGGTGCCTTCAATATGTGCAGTTCACAATGCTATATGTCCCAGTCCTATCCTAAGAAATGGTGTTTAGTTTTTAAGATACTGAAAGACTAAAGGCATTCACTCTTCAAAATTGAGGACAAAGTTTTTAAAAATGACATTAAATGAAATATATCACAGTTTAAAAACAACCTGAATCTTAATTATCTGTACATCCAGTTGCTGGGAAGGCCGAGGCATAGGATCACAAGATCCAGACCAGCCTCAGCAACTTAGCAAGGCCCTAAAGAACATACCCAAGGGCTGGGGATGTGGCTCAAGCGGTAGCGGTAGCGCGCTCACCTGGCATGCGTGCGGCCCGGGTTCGATCCTCAGCACCACATACCAACAAAGATGTTGTGTCTGCCGAGAACTAAAAAATAATAAATATTAAAAATTCTCTCTCTCTCTCCTCTCTTACTCTCTCTTTAAAATAATAATGATAATAAAAAAAGAACATACCCAAGACCCTGTCTCAAAATAAAAAGGGCTGGAGATGTGTCTCACTGGTACTGTGCCCTGAGTTCAATCCCTACTGCTGGGGGTGGAGTCAGGGACTAGACTAGAAAAAAATTTGTATCTTAGAACAGTAAAACATAACTGACTTAATAATTCCAATCCTAGGAATATATCTTACAGATATGTTCATACTAATTGCACAGATATATACATATATAAAGATTTTATTATAACTTTATAATGGAAAATTACAATAGAAATGGCCACCATTAGGGGTCGGTAAAAGAAATTGTGATGTATCACAAAAGTGAGTCCTATGCCCTCCATTAAAACAAATGTAGGCTCGGAGTTTAACTCATTGGTAGAGCACTTGACTAACATGCAAAGCCCTAGGTTTGATCCCCAGCACCTCCAGAAACAAAAGTTAAAAACGTATATGTATTTAATGATATATAAATATATATGTGAAAAAACAATTTGCAAATAGCTTGTATAATAGATCCCATTTGTTAATATATGAGTGATTTGTTGGTTCCTTTTAATTATACATGACAAAAGAATTCATTTTGACATAATTATAAAAGCATGGAGTATAATTTGTTCTAATTCAATCCTCAGTACTCCCCCTTCACCTCTCTTCTACCCCTTGTTCCCTTGCCAGTACTCTACTGATCTTTCTGCTATATACTTATAGTTGTTTTTTTTTTAATTAGTGTCTTGTGGATATACATGGTGGTGAGATTCACTGTGGTATATTCATATATGTACATAGGTCAGATTCATTCCACTGTCTTTTTTTCTGCTGAGGTTTAACTCAGAGCTTCACACAAGCTAGGCAAGAGTTCTACCACTGAGTAATATCCCCAAACCTTCAACAAATATTTTTTTTATTATCTGCTCTATTTCAGGCTTTATTCTGAGTACTGGGGACACAACAGTGAACTATACAGATATTACCCCCAGCAGAGTTCACAGTTATGAGTGATGAAATGCATAAAATATTCTTTTTTTAAAAAATGTATTCTTTTTAATGAGAGAGAGAGAATTTTTTTCAATGTTTATTTTTTAATTCTCGGCAGACACAACATCTTTGTTTGTATGTGGTGCTGAGGATCAAACCCGGGCCGCACGCATGCCAGGTGAGCGTGCTACCGCTTGAGCCACATCCCCAGCCCTACATAAAATATTCTTGAAGAATATATAGAAAACAGAACTTTTACATTTTAGGAAAGAGGCAGTGCAAAGTTTCATGGCTTGTAATATTACTTTTTACTTTATATATTGCTACCTTAATTTTCTTTTATAATATGTTACTTATGTAAATTTGAAATTTTGGACCAGGCATGTAGCTCAATGATACAGCTCTTGCCAAGTGTGGAGGAAGCCCTGGGTTCAGTCCTTAGTACCACATACACACACACACACACACACACACACACACACACACACAAGTTTTAAAATCTCATACCGGTTGCTCTAGAAAACAGTTTGGTACTTTCTTATAAAGTTAAATATATACTTAATATATGACCTAGCAAGCTTACTCCTAAGCACTTATCCTAGAAAAATGAAATTTTGTGTTTACACAAATGCTAATAAAAGTTTCATCTGTGATGGCCAGAAACAAGAAACAACACAGATGCCCATCAATTGGTAAATTGTTAAAGTGTGGTATATTCATAGAGGGGAATGCTACTCAGCAATAAAAAGGATTTTTTTTTTCTTTTTTAGTACTGGGGATTGAACCCAGGGGCACTTTACCGGTGAGCCACATCCCCAGCCCTATTTATTTATTTAGAGACAGGATCTCCATAAGTTGCTAAGCCTGGCCTTGAACTTGTGATAATTCTGTCTCAGCCTCATGAGTTATTGGGATTTATAAGCATGTGCCACCACACCTGGAGTAAAAAGGACTTATTAATACACACAAAAACTTGATTGACCCTTGAAGGCATTATGCCTCATAAAAACAAAAAAGCCAATCTCAATGCATTATATACTATGATCCCAGTATATAATACTCTCAAACTGACAAAATGATAGTTGTGGAGAACAGGTCATTGGTTAAAAAGGATTAAAGTTGGAGAAAGCATATGATTATTAAGGGGTAACAAAAGAGAGTTTCTCTGTAGT